AGTCCAATTTTGTTCTACTATAGATGTCCATTCACAGAGTGTATATGTAAAGCAACAGACTTGGTTCTTGTGGACAAACAAAATAATAATTTAAGGGCCCCCTCTTGCAGCCATGCCAGATTATTTCAACATCCGCATCAAAATCAAGCCAAAATTGAGCTATATATTGTAAGGAACAGTTCATGTGCCAAAGCTAAAAACCACAATCTAGGTAGCAGTACTAGCAGCAAATGACTATCTAGGTAGCTTCATCATCGCAAATTAAAGTTGCAGTAGAACTGCTATCAGACTATCCGATAGCACTACTCATTCACATGAAAGGAAGCTGATAAGGTACTATCAATGCTGTACAGAAGTAATCAAGGAGGCAATCACATGAAATTCCTGCTGTAATAGTGCCTTCTGTACTAGCTCTGCTATATGGAAATTCCATTACATGCATATAAGAATAAATGGATGGCCAATATATTGATGCGAATTTGAAAATAAGCAAACTTACTTGTGTTTGATTGTGTTCCAAGCTTATTCACTTCTTTAGTTAGCGCAAATTGCAGCTCAAATAAGCAAGACAAATGACATCTAGAGAAAATAGAAAATGAAACACAAGTAAGTTCCTGTAGATAGCCTCCCAATGTTACTTGCTAGGCATTGTCGGTGTCGGCTTCTAAGGAAAAAAGACCATCTTAGTTTTTTTGGTTGAGATGCACAAACACCGTTGGAGATTAGTGCTTGGTGGCAAAATCAAGTGCAAATATTTCAGCGATGCGCATGCATAATGAATCTCCCTTTATTTTTAGTTTTGAGCATACATAGTATAGAGATATATAGAGTAATAATGTAACCAGAGAGGGAAAGAGGATGGACAAAATAGATCTCGACATAGTGAAGATGTATAATATTACCTCCGTCCAAAAATAAATTAATTCTGAAAATGATTCTAAGTCAAATTATTTTATGTTTAACCAACTTTATAAAAAAGGATAACAACATCGATAACACAAACAAATATATTGTGAAAATATACTTCATGATGTATGTATTGATATATACTAATTTGGTGTCATAATGTTGGTGCTCTTTTTTATAAAGTTAGTTAAAATTAAAATAATTTGATTTTTGACGATTTTAGAAGTTGATTTAATTTGGGATGACGGGCGGGAGTAGTGCAGATGCCACGATGAAGCGACGAAAAGGTCCAGATCGTGAACTGAGCGTATCTTAGCTGGTTGGTTTGCTTGTGTGGAACTTGTTATCTCAAGCCCTCGATTTAACAAAGGTGCTCATATTTTCCTATATTTATTTTAGGTTTTAACGACATCGTTCTTTTAGTGATAGACAACATGCTCCTCAACGTAAGGTGTTTGTGGTAATTTCATCAATATCGAGGTTTGTCAATTCCCTCTTTAGTGTATGAGTGTCCATGTATGTAATTTAAAGAAAGAAAAGGTCTTGTAATCATATTTGATTAAAAAAATATAAAGATATAACGAGCAGTTACGTGGAAGGAAATATATTGGCAAGAGTGTTTGGCAAATAGGGCATTTTGACTACTCCCTCTTGAAACATAGTGTATTTATTTATGCTAATCCAAACTAATTTAAGTTTGACCAAATTTATAAAAAAAGAACAATAATATTTTTAACATCATATAAACTCGATTAGGAATATTATGGAATATATTTTATAACCTAATTTTTTGTTGTGGTAGAAGTTAATACATTTTTCTACAATTTTAGTCAAAATAAAGGCTGGTTGACTTAGGATAAATGTAAATATGGGACTATCTTTGTCCTGAAAAAGGATGCAATTCTAGATGTATTTCAGTTTCCGTATCCAAAGTTTGATTAATATATAGGTAGACATATTAATGTTTTTGACATCAAATAAGTATATTATAAAAATATAGAGCATGTTTGATACCATAAGCTAATTGTTAGCTAGCTAACTTTAGCTCAAATTAGCTCTAGTGTATCAAACAAGAGGGCTCATAGACAAGCCTAATTTTTTTAGCCATATTTTTAACTAGTTGCTAGTCAATTAGCTAGGCAACCATAGCTAATTTGAACTAATTTTAGCCCAACTAGTTAACTAGTCATGTGTATCATAGTACACTCTTATTTGATATTATAACTATTTATATTTTTATATGTAATTAGTTAAATTCGAGATACTTTAATTTGATACTGTGCTAAATTTGTATTTTTTTTTCTAGATAGAGGGATTAGAATTGCATTCTTTCGGAGTATATATTTAAGGATGAAGGGAATAGTTATTTTCTAGTTAATAATAAGTGATTTGTTACTGTGCTTAGAGGAACCACCGGTTTCTCCCGTGGAAAATATTTACCGCACCTATTAATTACGAAAATTAATTAATTGTTCTTAAGGGCAGTTTAGTCCTCTCCTGTAATGAATCTCAAACTCCTGACCCAATTCAATTCCACGAACGGGAGTGGCCGGTGCCTGCGACTCAGGATCTCGTTGCTTGCGTCATCTCCGACCGCCTCGCAGCCAGGGGGCCGCTGCGCCGACCGCGCTAGGAGAGGGAGAGTCGTGCCCCTGCATACCTCGCCTCATCGCGGGAGGCCGCCATGGCCGCCACCATGACCATGGCCACTACGCCGCGGGTAACATGCGTTGAGCCTTCCCTAACCGAGCCATGACCACCACCACGGTTCACATGGTCCGTTGCACTTGTAGCGCAATCACACAAGCTGGATTCGCCGTCACCCCTTGCATCATCGCCGCCGCTCCGTCGCGCTGTGCGCTGCCGCGTGCACGCTGGCAGCACGCTCCGCGCAACATCCGGCCACGACGCTGCCAGAACTGGGTCCTACCGGGCCCTGTGCATCCCGCCATGACACCACCTTCCCCGCCGCTAGCCGCCTTCTATACACTCCGCCCAAGCCGCCGCCTCCTGTGGCCGGCTCGCACGCCTTGCCGCTGCAACCTCGAGTGCGGGAAGCTCTGGCCCTGATCCCGCGCACGGTCTTAGCCGCCGGCGAGATCCCACCGGCCGGCCGTCGTTCTAGTTTCTGCGATTTGGGGATAAACAACATTCGGATATAAGAGATGCTGACATGAGATTATGAGAAACAGCACCTTCTTTTTTAATTCATAGAAGGAGCTCTTTTTTATTCAGAAAAGCAGCTCCATTTTTTTTAATCCCGAGAAGCAGCTCACGAGACGTCAAAATAATGTTATATCCTTCAAATTTAATTGTAAGCCACTTCAGGTCCACATATTTTTTTAGTTCCGGCCCACAACCTAATACCTGTTTGTTTGAGCTACTTTTTAGTTATAGAATAATTTTTTTTCCCGACATTTCAGTATAAAGTTAAATTTTAGCGTAAGTGAATGGGACCTAATTTTCGAACGCAGTAAAATTTCACTAATAATAAAGGAAATATATAGAGTTTAAACTTTAAACAGACAATCAGTTATGTCTTCTGCAGGACCTAACCAGCAGCCCGTTCCCCCCTTGCCTTATCATCTCCCGTTCACCCCGCGTGCGCGCGCTCTCTCTCTCGCGCGGCGACCGACTGGCGCCGTCCTAAGCCAGGTACCCAGGCGTTCGTCTGCCCCTTCGCCAGGCCTTCGACGGTCCCTTCGCCGGCGACGAGTACCCAACAAGTATGCGGACCCTTCCCTTCCCTTCCCTTCCTTTCCTGCCTGTGCGAAACCGAGTTCCCGAACCCTAACTTGAGCTATTTGGCTATTTCCCTATTTATTATTCCGACATGATCTAATTTCAAGTGTATAGATATATTATGCCTACTAACTTCGATTTTTTCGCAAAAATTTACTGGGTGTGTACATGTGTACACCCATGTCCTCTACTGGGCCTGCCCCTGAGAGGAAGCATTCCATAGCCTATTAGAAAGCCGTGTTGATGTCCTGTGTTTTTACATGTGAAAGATGGAGTTTAATTTGCGCTGAGCAGTCAGTAATCAATCAGGCTGAGATAAGAGAATGAAGAAGAGGTGTTTGTGTCACCAACTTCTGGCAAATTAAGAAGCAGAATAAGGCTTTCCGGCTAATGTGTTCTTTGCCGTAAATTTGCTGAAATCGTTGTGAGAAATGAACGAACCAAGCAAAATGTGCTTGGGCATGCTGAAGTTTGCTAGTTGCCAATTTTTAAGGTCATGTAAAATTGATTTAAGTTGATCCCATTGGCATTGGAACCAAGGCAGGTGAAGATTGTTTTAGGCATAATGGGGGGTTCAACCGAGCCCCATGTCACATGCTATTCCCTTTGCAGGTAGTCTTATGCCACTTTTTACTCATGTCATTCCTATTTGGAATGTGAGATGTGGTATTTTTTTCACCTTAAGTTAGTTGTGATGCTTCCATTTCCTCTTTTCGATTTTATTGTTTTATTTAGGTTATCATGTAGATTTCCTTGATGTATAATGTAGTGCCATCATGTCAATGGTTGTGTACACTGTCTCTATTTTTGGTTTGAGTGTCAATAAGGATCTGTCATACAGAACAGGGTTCCCTCATACCGGTAGCGCATGAACATGAAGAATTGAAGTTCATATGGTTTCTGCCAAGGTTGGCTACATTGCATTTAATCTGGTTATTGGTCAGCTTACCAACAGATTCTCTGGAAACTTTATGTTCCGATGCATGAATTGTTTTTTTTTTCATTTTCTTTGCATTTTGAGGGAGGTAGAAAACCAAACTGGATCATGCATATTCTTAGTTATGTAACTGAAAGAGAGAGAGTTGATTGAAATTCTATTAAGAAGGAAAGCTATCCAAATCTTGGCTACCTGGTTGGGTTTACCAAAAAAAAAAAAAAAAAAAAAAAAACACTGTCCCCACCCCCACAAACACAGAAACACCCAACCCACATCATATGCATTAGATCCTGTTGTTATCTATTTTTATACTGCCTTCGAGGCATTGGCATTTTCCTCGCAATTTCTGAAATTCTTACATTTAATGTGAATCTGCAGATTTGGTTCTAGTTAACTATTCAAGAAGTAGGAAACGATGAGCTACTTCCAAGCCACTACTTGCAAGCCTCACAGTAGGATCATTGTGAACAAACCTATAGCAGGTCTTGGGAGCACATATCAGTATCCATTATATTCACATGCTCTTGGATTCCACAAGCTGCAACAGAAGGTGTACCCAAGGCTAGTTCTCATTGCTGCTAGCCACAAAAGGCTTACTCCTGTATGTGCCTTAAGTGGAAAGGGAAACCCTGGCACTGCTGATGATGTAAGTAGCTTCTAAGGCCTTCCTTTTATGCTTGATATTTCTTATAAATTTATCATGCAAAAATGCATAGCTGTGTTGTTTTCTTGATATGATTCCAGGGGTGTGTTGAATACGTGTCAAATGATAGTGTTACCGTGGATTCACTGCCAATTACCAAAATTTTGGTCACGCATAGGTTTTGTCCAAGGCCAGTTTTGGTAGCTTAGTTGGTGGATGAAATTAAACAAAGTTGATGTTTTGTCGGTGCCAAAATTTATGAATGCCACCGGTGCACTTGATATTGTTGAATGAGTAAAGTTCGCTACCGGTCCTTGAACTTGTACAGCTGTGTCATCCCGGTCCCTAAACTTACAAAACGTTCATCTAGATACCTAAACATTGTTCGGGTCTCATTGCCCATCCAAACGGGTCTGAACCCGCTACCCGTGACTCTGTCTCCTCCTCCCGGACTGCCCAGTGCCTACTGCGCCGCTCGGCCTTTGGTCTCCTCGACGGCAACTCTTCGCACGCCGGACGTCCGCGGCAGGGAAGCGCGCTCACCCAGGGCACCCTCGCCCGGCAGCTCATGGGCCTGCTCGCACGGTGGCGATGGGGCGGCCTCACCTGGTGTTGCTCGGGTGGTGATGCGGTGCAGGGGTGGCTTGCCGGTGGCTTCAGGCTACTCTCGGCTCGCCACCTCTTGCCGCCGCCGGCTTTTGCCTAGGCCGCACCTCGGTGCATGTACTACTGTCCACGGAGTCGCGTCATGGGTGAGAGGGAGCGGCCACGGCTCGAGCACGGAGACAATTGCTTCCTTGCTCGCCTACGTTTTGATGGTGCGTAGTCTAGTCTCTGCGGCGTCGGACTTGGCGCAGCCGCGCAGGCCACCTAGCGCAGCCGTACTGGCCGAATGACCAAGACGTCGCTTCCACCAGCGAGCTTCGAGGTCACCTCACCTAGTCGTCATGGCTGTCCAGTCCTCCTTCACAGCCTCCTCTGCGCAGCAGGACTGCTCTGACAGCCTCTCCATGGCGTCCGAGGCGTCGACAGCGCCAGTGGTGTGCGACGCGTGGCCTGCGCGGGCGCCGAAGAGGAGGCGGCATTTGGTGGCGGCGTGGTTGTCGCGTTCGATTCCACAGACCCACACGCCGGCCGTGGTTGGCATGTACTACGGCAGCTCGGACCGAGGCCGAGCGTGGGTGGCCAGTGGCCGGAGCACGTTGATCCTGCTAGCTAGTTCACAACATTTGGGACCAAAATGACACACCTACGCAAATTAAAGGACTGCATGGAGATCCGATAGGACTATTGTGAGACCCGAACAATGTTTAGGTACCTATAAATAATTATTTTGAGAGTTTAGGGACCGGGATGACATAGGGACACAAGTTTAAGGACCGGCAGTGGACTTTACTCTTGTTGAATTAAGTAAAACATGGTCAGAGTGATATTTTTATTTGCATGTGCCATACGCCCATACTGTGCACTTAGATATTTGTTAAATTGAACTAGTGTATGATATATTTGGTGGATCAAAGCAAACTTACTCTTGTCTCGCTTCAGAATTTTGTCATACTCCTTTAGGTGGATTACTTCTGTTGTTTTTGGAAGTCATAATAATCTGCTGGGTTATTCTCAACTATTTAAAACTATATTTTTAAATTGTTGGTCAAAGTTAGGAATGTTTGACTTAGGACAAACCTAAAATGGAGGGAGTATGTTAGGCTACCATATCAAATTTAAACACAGATCAAGGGTACATGTTAGGAATAGCTGGCTTGGTCAAGAAACCAAATATATAGGAAAAGTCTCAATCCCCAAAACATTTACATACATTTGGTTCTGCTAGCAGAGTGCATTTACATTTCTTAATAGGTTGGTGATCTTGTATAACGTTTTTTTGCAGCCTTTGATGGAATCTTTGAAGAAAGCTATGGCTGATGCAAAAAAGCCCCGGCCCATACAAGACTTGCTGAAGGAGCAGGTGGCTAAACTGAGAGAACAAGCGTCTGGTGGAGGCGGAGGGAATGGGAATCGCCGTGGGGGCAGTGGTGGTTCTGGTGGCCCAGATGATGAATCGTTCAAGGAAACATTGGATGAAGTAGTCCAAGTTATCTTGGCCACTGTTGCTTTCATACTTGTGGTAATTGTTTTGTTTTCCTTGTTTCTTCTGCATTTCCTGGTATACCTATTTGATAAGTTAGCACTGGGCATCATAGACTGCTGAAACACCATTGCCTATGAAAAAGACAGAATGGTATCAATAGACTTCATGCTCTTAGGTTTTTCTTGCTTGTACATGTGACACTTAGGTACAAAATGATTATAGTCCCTTTATGATATGAATTACCTTTACAATTTTGTTATAGCCAGATCTTACGAAATTCAAATGTATGCATCTGTGTTTATCATAGTGACAAGCATTAACCCTCCAGGATGGCTGCTAAATCACTGTATTTTTTTTCTAACGGTGCAGTACATCCACATAATCAGAGGGGAGGAACTTTACCGTCTTGCCAGGGACTACACCAGATATCTCGTCACTGGTAAGAGGACTGCCCGACTGAAGCGTGCCATGCAAAAGTGGCACAACTTCTCCGAGAGCTTCATGCAGAAGGAAGGCTCAGAAGAGGACCAATATGAGAGATCAGCTGTGTCAAAACCTACATGGTGGCAACAGCCTCAGAAATTTGTGCATCTTATGCAGGAGCTTTGCAGGGGAAACTGGCGTCCCCATGCTCAGGAGTCTAGTTGATGGGGTATCATCAGCCCCCCTCCTTTTTTTGACCCATTGCAGAATGCATAATAGGAACGTGGGCTAGTGCAGCGGAGTAAGGTCGCCTGTCGCCTGGACCATTGTTTTTTTTTTGTTCTTTACCGGGTATGTCTCTCGTTTGTTAAAAGTATGAAGAAAGTGAGTGAATTCTTGACAATTTTGTAGTTGATGGGACCGTGTTTTGAGACTGTAACCTGCCAATCAGACGTTGGTGATAGCTTGTGCATCTGATCGATCAAAACTCTCAACTGTGACGCGAAATGTGTAGCGGGGGGTGAAGGATTATTTACTGACTCTTTCTATGCACATGTTTGTTGAGGACTGCAGATCTCTTGCCGCAAGCCTCGGCCCTCGGCTAATCAGCTAGCAAGTTGCCATGCCACACATTTTTTTTGGGGTTAGGATTAGGACATTAGTACTTCAAAGTTACACAATTATTCTTGCCATGCTAATGCAACAGTGTACGATAATGTTTTGTAGGAAATTCTGCAAGAACTATCATGCCCATGAAACTATCGTCCTTTCAATAGTGACATTGCTAGCACAATGATCATGAATCCATCGACAGAACAAGAGAGCACATGAAAATATGAAATAGCCTCACTTTTCTGTTTCTTCGATATGCTTATACAAATTCAGTATAACACTGAAAAAATAACCTGACTGTCTGCACCAAACTATGAAGAGTTTCATACGGTGTAAACGTGAATTGGTGCATGGCCGTTTCACCAGATTGAAAGAAATCATTTGTCACTGTCTGTTATACTCGGTGGTTGGAAATGCTGAAACAAATCCAGCACAGATCAACTTTCATCAGCAGGAGAGCCTGACGCTTCAGCAGCTTTCTTTTCCTTCTGTTTCTCTCTGCGCTTCTTGTTTCGCAATGCATTTTTGCTCATCTCCCCCCTGTTACATTGTTAAGGTCAGTGGGTTATCTGTCGATGTAAAAAAAGGCATAAGAAAAGGTGAATGAAGAATGTGAAACTCACCCTGCAGGAGCTAGTCCACCAAAGAGCTGCAATGCACCAAAACATGATAAGTCAATATTCTTATACTGCCAAACAATGAGAATTTTCTCGAACGAGCTGGAACAACAACCAATAGAATTAGCTGAGCACAGCAAATCCCAGGTAAACGCCAGCATATGATTTATTAAGTATATGAGACACATTCCTCTTTTATTCTATTTGACACTGACAAGATCTAGCCTGTGTTGTTTCAACTTTCACTTTCAGCATAGCCGGTCACAATCCCAGGTAAAGGAGGTGGTGATAGGCCTGACAAACCAACATAAAAAATCCAACCACTCATATGGAGATCTAGCCCAACTTGCTTGGAGGACTAACGGGCTTTGTTGTTGTTGCGGCACCATGACAAGGAGCAATTGCATGGTAATAGACCAAATCATTCAGTTTCACATTCCATTCCTACCAAAGACCAAACACCCCAGTTCTGCAACGGAACCATGGTGGTGTTATTAGATAGAAGCTTGTACCTTGTCCTGAAGTTCTGCAGAACCCTTAGCATGGGGTGGGCGGTATGCTGTAGGTTTCGGTGCTGTATTTGCAGGGGCCTTGCTTGATGTTTGTGCTGACTTGGAACCTTGTGCTGAAACTATAGAAGGACGTCAAGGGAAGATATCAATTGATCAGAACAGATTGACTTGGAATCTACGAGAATACCAGAACCTTGTTTTTTTGTTTCTTCAATCTTTAAGGTACTCAAGGATGTTGTCTGGTCAGCAATGTCACCGAATCTTTCAGGTACTTCAGGTTTCCAATCAGCCTGAATGATTCAAAAAAAAAATCAGAAATATAGAGAGTGCATATTTATCTATAAATTTCAGCATGTTACTACAGTTTAGGAACAGAATAGGATAAAAAATAAGAAGTTATGTTGAGGGTATACCTGATACAGCCTTTCAAACATCTTCTTAAACTGCAGAGATCCGTTGTGGTCAAATATTTTTATACTGCAACAACAGTTCCATTCAGTAAGGGCATTTAACTATGTCCATTAATATGCCAATTGCCAAATACAGTAAACATACCAATTGTCTATTTGGAGCCTCGGCGCTGTTGTAGCAGTCATAAAATGACGACCATCAGGGGACCATTCACTTGTGACAGAACATTCTGCCTTTGTTTTTGCTACCAATTTCTTTTCTGAATAATCCCAGAACGCCTGGGCAGAAAATACCATGTGAGCTACAATGCAACTATTTGTAGATGCTTACAGGTATTAAGGCATGTTTGCTTTTGTAGTTTATCTTTGTTTTTTCTATACCAAACTTAAAGAGTTAAGCAGATGAAATAGGCAATATTTATAAATTTTCAGGGTGAAGAATAATGCTGAAAAATTGTTTGGTGTAGAAATATACCATATCACCAGGCAAATTACCAAATCCTGCTAATACAAAAACTGGTCGAGAAAATGTGGTCAAGGATATTGTAAAAGCAACAGGTTTCATAAGATGTATATACTCCCTCCGTTTCTTATTATACTGAGTATTAGGATCTGAAAAGGTCAGATTTCTTAAACTGTAACTAACAATTAGTCAAATTATATGCACACTTAGTGTGCAAAAGTTATATGAATAGATGTGTATTTGACATCTTTAAAATAATGTTATTTTTGTAGCACTAGCTTTTCATAATAAAAATTAGTAGTCAAAGAATGCTTGTAAAGAGTTATCCAGATTCTAATACGCCCTATGAAAAGAACATAGGGAGCATGGCTTAGCCCAACTTTCGTAGATAGAAACAGCTAGATATGCCCACCACATTTTCACACAAGACTGACTGATCAAATTATTCTAGAGGATACATCGTCCTTTGGGGTTCCATCTTATCGTATTGTAAGGTCCTTCACCAAGCTCAACAAGAGGGTTGCACTTCTTGTTGAATATTGTTGCCTTGGCCGGCATAACTGAGATACGGTTAAGGAGCACTTAAAAAGGACAAATGGTACATAAAAGGTAAAACTCTGAAATTCTACAGTGCATATGAAGACAGTAAATATAAGGATACATCCATAAACCACAGCAAATTCAGAGCCAGAGGAAGACCACTGCACATCATGGACTGGCCCATCCTTTTCTGCCAATACATGATAGGGTCAGATACCAGAAATTAAAGGATAAATATTGTCAAAACCTAAGAACTTACTAAGTGGAACAATTCCTTCAAAGGCCCTGTCAGTTGTCAAGTAGTTCAACTTGGTTTCACCATAGTAACTCTGGTTGGTTTTATCCACGTCAGCTTGAGCAAGAACTAGAAGCCCAGTGGACCCTTTGTTCCAGTGTAATTGAACAGTGGAACAACGAAAAAAGCTCCTGCGAGCAACAACTTGATTTTGTGCGTCCTTGTTGCAAGAAAATATCTGAACACTAGCTGGAACACCCTACTCGAAACCAGAGAGAGAAATAGATCAGTAACCTTGTGAAACTAGTTTGCAGAAACACAGTCTAATTACCTAAATAAAATGTAACAAATCAAACCTTAGCTTCTGGGACGAATCCAGCAACATGAGATCCTGGTGCAGTTGCTAGCTGCATCGTAGCTATGCCAGGCATTCTTATCCTATACAAAATCCCTTTTGCAAAATCTTTTGGATCAAAGAATTGTATCTCATTAGGCATCATCCGGCAAGCGACCGATTCATCCGCAGAAAACTGAACCATTGGCCTGCGGGTTCAATCAACATATCATGCATCAAAAGAACTCAAATGTGTCTCATGCTTACGCAAATTGATCGAATTTATAGATACTTCCTCCTATACTGTCTCAGGTTTCTTTTTTGCCTAATCTCATGTGTGCGACTAATGGAGAATCCACATAGAATGGTGGCAGAAGGTAGTGTTAGAATCTCAAATCCAGGAACCAGGATAAAAAGCTTAATCAGTAGCCAATCTAATCACTAAGGATCGGGTGCTAGGAGATATCTTTAAAATCGAGTAACAGTTTTGTTTCTTTGCCAGTCTCCCAAAAGAAGCATCATCCAGCTTGATAGGAACCTCAGTGATAGATGTGTATACAACTGTGCAAGAATTCAAACATAACTACCATATGACATCAGTGACTTAACGAAATATTGCAATAGCAAATGTGCTGGATGTAGTTAACAAGCGAGCGTCTGCCACTATCTCCCATAAAATGTTCATCCGATAAATCATGAGTAATAAGACGCTAACCTACATATTAACATCTCTACAAGCATAATGAAGGATAAAGAGTGCAGGCAGCATAATTTATCAGTGTCACGAGAGCCCAAGCAACACGTACCAGGTGGCCTTAGACATGCTCTTCTGGTAGTGCTGGTAGAGAGCAGCAGCTGTGTCAACGTGCCAGACCGTGACATTCTTCTCCTGCGGCGAGGATGACTTCTGGAAGGTCTGCAGATACGCCCCCGTGGGCGACAGCGCGGCGGCGAGGAGACCCGGGAGCTCGAAGCACTTGACAACGGCGAGTGTGCGGCAATCGTAGACGGTGGCCGAGGCCGATGCCACCGTCGCGAGGAGGCGGGCACCGTCGGTGGAGAAAGAGGTGGCGCTGCACGCCGTCTTGGGGAGTCTCTGCGGCGGGCTGGTGGTGCCCGGAGGGTATGGCGGGCCGGACCACACCGTGAAGCCGTCGGGCTCGCGAACTGCGAGGTTGGCGCATTCCGTCAGAGGGGCGGTGTTCGAACGCGAGATATTAAGGGGGCAAACGCGGCGAGGAGAGAGAGAGAGGGGATGTGTGAGGATACCTAGGATCTCGAGGGCCGGCGGTGACGACGCCATGGCCGAGCACGCGACAAGTCCTCTGGGGCCGCCGGCGAGATCGCGAGCACAGTGACGGGCGGCGGCGGCGCGGGACGGAGAGGTTGGGGACGGCGTCTAGGAGATGCGGGTGATGTCAGTTTGCTTGCTACAGCAGCTGACAGGTGGGACTATGGCGCTAAGCTTTCGTGAGGCCGCCGTTGTCAGTGTAATGGAGCGT